GCGAAGGCCTTCTCTAGCTCATCCAGGTCCCCGGGGATCCTTTGGAAGTTGGCGACTTCTCGTGGTGCCTCCCCTTTCTTTTCTTCCTCCTGCTGTTCCGGCCCTTCTTCTACCTCTATTCTTCGCTTCGTCAGTAGCTGTCTAAGGCCTTTCAGAAGCCTGGGGCTTGCCTACAACATGGTTTGAAAAGAGACCGACACCATGGTCCCTAGCAGCTTGCTAAGGGTGTCATTGATCTCGGGCATAGTTAGAATGGGGATCTGATACCGGAATTTCTTTTTGGCCAAGGCTGCTTTGTCTACCGGAGCCTCTTCTCTAGGTTTCCTGTAAACTTTCTCTTGCTCCTGTACCTCAGCTTCTTGTGTCATCCCCGGGCCATCCCCAACATCTTCCATGGCGGCGTCATGTACGACCTTCTTTTCTGATGTACGCTGCCTGGTGGTCACGTTCACCCTAGCTCCGCCACTGGCTCGGCCTCTACTGTGGCGACGTCGAGGTTGTTAAGTGCAATTACGGCCCGGCGCATCCCACCCAGGGAGTTCCAATTCACTTTCTCTCCTTGGGGGCCTATGATCTCTTCTTGTAACGTCCTGAAGCACCTTTTGTGCATGATGTCATGGTTAAGTCTTGGACATGCTCACACAAAGTGTCCAACCATCGCACAATACTTGCATTGCTCATTGGCCGGATCTCTCCTATTGAACCCCCGGTTAGCTATTCCTGCGGGAGCCACCGCCTCTTGTGGTGGGAGGGGGGTCGAGCTCCTTGGGTTTGCGTCACTTGGGCTTGCATTACCATCAAAGCGTTCTCTACCCTTACAATCTTTCCATCTACCCCATGGACACGCTCGTGCAGACTCTCTATCCCTCTCTTTACCTTATCGCCTGTCTTACCGGTTAAGTCTATGACCTCTCCTTCCCTCAGGAAGGCCAATGATTCGGTTACAACCATCTTCTCAACAATGTCTATCACGGTGCTAAAGTCGACATCTCGTATGAATGAATGAAAACACAATGAATCGCATAAAACCATTGCGCTTTACTCTCGAAGTACATGATTTTATGCCACCACGCTAAACTGCAGCGTACCACCCTTTTGCCCAGTACTACTGAGGTAGCGCAGCGCAACTGCACTCAATCCATTATTTATACTGCTCTATCTTCGATCTACTCCCTGGAAAAAGCAAACGCTAGTCTCCACGCCGTGACGACGTGCAAAAATTTACCGTTTCTCGAATTTACCGTTTCTCAAAATCTTACTGCTTGAAAAAGTCCTACGTCTAGGAGTGTTGGGATGTACCATTGCAGTAGTCCGTCCACATTAGGCTTTTCCATTTTTTTTGGGATAGCGGCGCTGCCGCGGTTATACATGTGAGTCCTTCCAGATAATTCGACGATCTCGACTCACCTCTTTACTGAGATCGTAGTTCAGTTGATTCTTTTTGTCTTGCTGTAACTAACCTTTTATGTGGTTCTGCTTCCATCGTTGGCAAAACCCTTTGTCGTACTGTACTTCTGCGCTGTGTCAGTTACCGTTTGGTTCTGTCACTTACCAGTTCAGAGTTCACGGCCAACTCTCACGTTTTCCAAACCATCTCCCCAATTGTGCACCCATTTCATCCCAGAACCCCCCCGTTCTTCGTCCCACGCTTTGAACCCCTGCCAGGAAAGCTTCCAATGGATAGCCCAACTTACGAATCCCTCTCGAATGTTATCAAGCTTACCCACGCCGTCGCCTTCGTGTCTGTGTTGTTTCGGATCCTCCAAATCGTCCCTGTCACCACGCCCCATTTTACTCTCTTATCTCCATAGGACTGATAATCCTTTATAGTATTATAATGTCTGGGCCCCTCCCCCCAGATACTGTCTATGTTTTTGAATCTATGCGTCATGTAAATCCAGGCGGGAAGATTTGTTACTATCAGATTAACTTCCAAAAAGGAAGCAATCCCATTTTCACCCCCTGTTTGCTTCAAAATCAGATCCTTGTGATAGCACCGCCCAATCTCCGCCAATCTTTCTTTTGCCTTCTCCTTTTCCCCTTCCTTTCTGTTGCCATACCATGTTGCCAGGATGAGGGCATCCATGAACCTATTCCCTTCTAGAAGGTGTCTCTGCTCCAAGCGACATGAGAAACCTGTGCTCGACATAGGCACACATCACATAGGCTTCCCCACCCCCCCATTGGGATTCCATTAATCTGTTTGAGAATCACCCCCCCTGCTTTAAAATAGGTGTTGTCTAGTAGGAAATAAGTGATCTCTACAAGTGCCATCATTCGTACTGATTTCCACCCTTCTTCCCCGTGCGATTTCCCGAAGGTCGCCTTCTTCCCTCTTACCTTCAATCTCACCCATCGAATGCCCTTATCCCGAATTTCGTCATGTGGCAGCCTTGTAAACATCTCCTTTATGTCGCAGGTTCGTATGAGGATCCTGTTGTCCATACCCGTCGACTCGTGAGCTTTCTTGTTCACTTTCTCCATTTTCTATTTTAGTTGCGCAGTCCCGAATAGGTCGAAGTGTTCCACCCCGACATTCTTCAGCATGAAGTTCAGTGCTTTACTTAATAGACCCGCCGCTTGTCTAGCTGGGTTATAGAAGGAGGGCACTATCGACCTTCTTTTGCAGAGATCCTTGTCCTTAGCGATGACATAGGATTCCTGCAGCTTCCCTCTGTTGTCCCAGTTTGCCAGTGTTGTTAACCTTGCAGTCGAGTATTCCATCTTCATATCTTGGAACACTTCAACCTCGGTCTTTCTTATCTTCTGATAGTTAGGATTCTCATTAAACATTTCTCGCATACCCTTTGCGTAGAGTGATGGACATTCTACCAATGTCTCCCCGCCATTTCGGTCCACCGGTGACAGCATTAGCCCTGCCAATGCCTGTTTTACCCCTTTAACATGCTCAACCCATACTACTCCGTCCTGTGTGGCTGGTTGCTTCCATGCTAGTTGATGCAAACGCAGCCTAACCGCCTCCTTTGCCCCAATTAGACCCATCTTTTTTAGCGGTTTGATTACCTGCGTATATTCATAAACTTTGTGGTCTGTTGGTAGGCCGATAGGATCTTATCTTTGTTGAACTCGGTGAATTGTCTGAGGAAGTATTTACTCGTTATGCGATTAGTTACCCCCGGGATTCGCAATGCTACGAGGATCAATTTGCTCAGGAAATCGTTATACGTTGCAAAGTTCTTTCTTTGTACTGCAAGCAGTTCTGTCTCTGTAGCCATTTTCTCGGTTGCCAGATATTTCCGCATCATTACGTCCCAGGCCTCCTTCCAGGATCCGCTGATCTCGACGATAGCCATTATGTCCCTCCCTAGATTAAACGACACATGCTGCCCTAAGTGCTCCATCTTCTCTTCCTCGCTCCACCTTAGTAGTGTCGCCAAATTTTCGTAGTCTATCAAGAATTTCGTCATATTAGCCCCGTCGAATGTCAGCTTCTTCTTGGCGTCGGCCAGGTATCCCTGATTTTTATTTAGCGCCCGTGTGAGGGAAGACACCATTTTCTTGAGCCCCCCCTCGGTTCACCCCGTTCCATTGGTGGTGTCGAAGCCTTGTTCTTCCTTACTGGTACCCGCCCCTTCTCCGGGCTTTGCCGTCCCTTCCGGGTCGAACTAGCCTAGCACCCTTTTTCTTAAGCTCCAAAGCCCTTCGCATCCCCTTGCGATTATGGGCGAAACCGCTGGTCGGCTTGCCCCACTGGCTATGGCCGACGGGTTGGTAGCCTTCTCCGCCTCCCTTCCTGGGGATTTTGTTCTCTCCTTTCCTTTCTTGGTTGGCGTCTCCTTATGCTCTCCAGTCCTATCCTTTCTCCTTTTTATAGTATCTTCTTGGCTCCCCCGCCCCTGGTTTGCTCCTTGATCTTCATTCAGCCCTTCTCCGGCGAAGTCCCCCTCGCCTTCGTTCATCATCTCCTCCAGGAGTTTTGCGTTATACTCCGCCATTCTTCTTTCTATCTCAGCAAGTTTCTTCCGGGTGTCGGTTAGCCTTACCTTCTTTGACAGCGTGCCGTCAGATGCTCGTGGCGTCGGACTGCCTTTACTCTTATCCCCCTTAGTTCTCTGAGTTCCTTGTTTGCTCCCTCCGGCTTTTCTTGAGCTTTCCCTGGTTGTCACTTCCTTTCTTCCTTCCTTAGTACCTTCTGGATTTGCCGATTCTCGGTCCCTCACGGACCCGCCGTTTTGCTCTATGTCCTTCTTTGAGCACTGACTCCCCTTGCTTCGCAGGCTTCCTGCTTCCTCCTCTGTCGCCATCCTTTCCTAATCTTGCACAAAGGAAAAAAAAAAATTCGAAATGGCGAGTTGTTTACAACTCTCCAGATTTCCAGACCCTAAGGTTTGCTACAGTCTCCCCACCTTTGCCATTTCAATATTTTCTGTTTTATAGTGGCGGTAGCAGGCCTGTCTGCCTTCACTTTGCGGTGTACTGCTTGCCTTTCCTGTCGGAAAGCCTGTTGCCGGGTTTCGATGTTTTGTCACCACCGTGCCTCGGTTCTAAGGCGGCGTGTCCATGGCGGGTGGGTCCTTCTTTCGAAGATGACCTTTTGCCTTCCCAACCTTTGGATACCCCTGACGTCCTTGATAGTAGTGGTCATCCTAGTCCCTTTCTGGCATACCCTTAGATGGCGTAGGACTCCAGCCACTACCCCCCCCGCAGAACGCTATTCTTGCTTTTGTCTTTATCATCTCATAGCTCGAGTTCACCTTTGCCACCTTCCTCGACATTTTTCTCACACCGGTTCCTCAGGCCCGTCCTGTTCGTCAAGTTCCTCGAATAGGCTAGCCACCCCCGCAAGGTAGTTTTCCCTCATTCCTATTTCTCTGATAATTATTGGCTCATATTCTTCAAAAGCCAAGAGTGGCGCCCCAAATATCAGGATCTCGATGAATTTTAGTAATTCACGGACCCGATTTTCCCAAAACGGCCCGTGTCTTACCGACACATCGTAAAACATTCTTGTTGTTTGTGGCTGGAAATGGTGAATCCAGATTAGGGTCGAGTTCACCAGTTCCGTTGCCCTCAAGAGGCTGACGAATATCAAGTCTATCATAAAGCGGGGTACTCAGCACCGCAATCCTGCCATTGGGGCTCTAAACTCTCGCCATCCTCCTACTTCCACCCGGGTTCTTAGCCCCACATTTCTTCTCCCCCGAACTTCCTATCCTATCCGGTTTAATGCCCTGGCCACCCTCCGGAAGATTGGCAGCAGCCCATGCCCTAGTGCCATCTCGGTTCCTAGCATGTGCCATCCAATCTCAGGTAAGTACATGGTCCCGGTCACCCTCAGGTCGGTGCATAAGTCGTCTTTTGGCCCCCTATTGAACCTCATGCCGCTCCATAGGCAATCCTCCATCATGAAGGCTTGGTCCCTCCCCAAGGTCACAACTCTCCATTCCGTGTCAATTCCTCGGGCCTCGTAGCTCGCTGGGAGCGACACCTCCCATCCGTTACTGCTTTCTGTGGGTGGTCGAGGGTGTGTGGGTCGTCGCGATGTTCGGGTGCGTCTCATCGCCGTTGCCGGTTGGTGGGTTCCTGCATGGTTCATACAGAAAGCGAATTCCTCTTATTTCATCTGCTCCCCTGGACATTGCTAGCTATCCTCCTACCTTCTCACCCCATCCTTTCTGTCGCTCTTGTTTTTCCTTTCCTCTCTATTGGCCTGCTTCCTCCTCCGGTAGTTCGAACAAACGATGAACATCGTCTAGGTAGGTCATTCCACGACTTACCTCGCGCCTAATGACTCTCCACATGGTTTCATCATTTATTAACGGGGTTCTTGGTCTAGTAGTCACAACCGCTCGTAATATGCATAGTACTGTGTACCCCTGTTCGTCCTCAAAGGGCCCCATCTCCAGGAAGGCCCGATAATATTCTTGATACACCGATGCTTCTTCAAAGCTTAGCGTAGCCAGTGCCGCTACTGCCTGCTGAACTCGTTCTATACCTCCCATTTGCCTTAGTAGGAAGGGCGACAGGCTCATTCGTACGATTTCGTTTAGTAGGTTAAAGGTTCCTGCCATGACGGTTCCTACTTCGGTTGTTATGTCGCCAGGTTGTTTGCCAAGCCCCCTCAAGCATAAGTACGGGTTCTCCTCCGGACGCCAAGGTGAACCCAAAGGTGCGCCACCCCTCTTCTCACCGGTACAACGAACCTGTGGCATGTACGCATCCCAGAAGATCCAAGCTTACGCCCCCGAATTCCCCCCTTGCCCGCCATTCCAATTCCACTACTAGGTACACCGTATCTTCTACCAGCTCTACCCCGACCCAGTCCATCACCGGGTCGCTCACTCCGTTCCTGGCCGTCATGCTTATCTCTACCCCGCCATCTATCCTGCTGGGCGGCAAGATCGCGACGTATTTTCTCACAGCACCATTCTTCGAGCCATTCTGTGGTGTCTTCCTCCGCGCTCCCCTTCAACCGACCGCTGCACTAAAAAAAAAGTTTGCGCTTTCTTGGTTTAATCTCCTTTTTCTATTCCGCGACACCTTTTTCTTGCCTAATGCCCATTAGTTTCCGACGTTGTCCCTGCTTCATACATATTCTGATTTCGTCTCCCCTTTGCCTACGTGCTGATCTTTCGGCTATACCCATAGTACCTCGAACAATAGGAACACATCTCCTATGTACGAGGGGGTCGCTGCCACCTCGCGGTGAAGTATCGCATCCTCGGCCCCGTCGTCCACCTCGAGTCGGTCTTCCTTAAAAATTTTCAGGATGTCGACGGCCTCTTTCGCCCTATCCCCGTGGAACGGTCCCATTTCCAACGAGATCTTGTAGTAAGCGTCGACTAACCATGAAAAGTCCAGGTTTAGTTCGTCTAAGGCTTTTGCCACCGTGAGGATGTGTTCGTATCCTCCAAACCAGTCTGCTACAAAACGCGGCACCCAGGCCTGAACTATCTGGCACGACAGCCTGAATTTCTCCTACCCTCCTATCGCAGCGCTACTGCTTACCTCATCCCACCCTTTGTTGGCGAATTCGTAACCCATATTACGAGTCCGTCGCTCGTCCCCTCCTAAGATCCACATTGGATCTTGCCCAGACGCCAACGTTACGCAGAACAGTTGCCACCCCCTTCTTGATAAGTAGACCGTCTCGAGGGCTTCTACATTTCCCTCAGCTATGTCGTCCCATCCTTCTTCGTCCCTCAACGGTTTTCATACTCTTTCTACCCATAGGAACAATAGTTCTGATGTGATTACTTCCCCTACCCAGTCACAAGTCGCTCTTCTCCACTCATTTCTTGTTGGTAGGGTCATCTCTACTCCTCCCTCGAACTGTCTTGGCTCCCACCCCCTAAACATCCGACCATTTAAGCGTTGTTCCCTAGCCATGCTGGTACCCTGCACAATGCCGACCACCCCTATCATTTCTGCCCTACGGACCTTTTCCTCAGAAGTCCCAGTCTTCGATTGCATCATCTTCGTCTTCATCGGTAAGATCGTCCTCTCCCTCGTACCATAGATCTTTCAACCCGTCCACAAACATTTCTCCTATCGCCACATTCCTATAGATTATCTTCCAGTGGACGGAACTCAGAACAAACACCTCATCTGTGCTGAGGCAGTTTAGTATCTCAGCCAGTTCCTTTGCCCAATTCCCTTCGAACGGTCCCATTTCGACCGATAGACGGAAGAAGTCCTGTTGGGCGCCCTGGTACAGCCCGAGGTTCGTCATGGACTGGCATATCCGCACCAGCCTACTCCGGGTCCCAAAGACAACGTCCACCAAGAACGGAGGCACGGTGCACCTCATTGTCCTGAGCGGCCGCCTTACGTTCCCTCTATCTCCGAGTTCCACCCGCACATCTATCTTTTCCATTTCCATTTCCACCCGCTGACATGCAGCTTACACTACTTCCCGTTCCGCCTGCCTAAATAATTGGTACGAGACTATCCCTAACGCCAAGTCTGCCACCATTGCGTTCTCCCCTTCCTTGGACAGGTAGATCCAAACCCGGGCTTCCACAGTCCCCCGAAATTCCAAATCTGTCAAGCTTGGCGTTAACCGGGTCAGGCTGACCTTGGTCAACAACGTTTCTATGCAAAGGAAGGCATCCTCGTCGCCCAGTATCGTGGTTTGATACGCCGGCTCCAGATCTGTCCAGGTCCCTTCCTCTGGCAAAACGACGGATAACCCGTCCCTAACATCTATTGGCATTTCTGGTCTGCTGGAATAGATTGGGGATGACAGTCGCCGCGCCATCTCGGTTCCAACACTCGACCCTGTTTTTTTTCACAGCCAAACACCACCCCCGGTTCTCGGGTCCGATCAGCCTAAATCCTGGATGAGAATATTTCAGAGCCCTCATCAAGGTCTAGCCTAGTTTACCTCCCCAATTCTCAAATTCTAACCTTCTTCGTATATGCCCAAGTCGCCCTTTTTTCACCCAAACTCATTTTCTTGGTTCCTTTCAAGCTGACCTCTCTCTTCGTCTCATGATCTTCACTCACTCGTGCGGACTTAGGCAGGGGGTGAGAATAGACTAGAATCATCGCCCCGCTCAACAGCTCATATCGCAATAATCTTTACAGAGGGGGATACAAAATACGAAAACTCAGGCAACCTCGCATACAAGGCACGGTCATTTCCTCACCGGCCTTCTTCCCAAAGTGGTCTCTCCACTGTTACCGTCGGTAGAGTTTTATCCCATACCTCAAGCACAACTCAACCGTCGCGAGCGTGGTACCCAGGCTCCGGCACAGGGCATCACCCCTCTTCGTTTGCCCAAAATACCCCATCCCGTCTTGCCGCTCTTGCACACCCTGTTGGTATCGGGAATCACCCCGCGCACCCCGCTTGGAGCAAAAGTCAGCCGTCCGGGCATTCACTTCCATCGGTCTGATAAGAATCAGCCTTTCCCAAACCGTACTATGGGAGGCTACTAATCGTCTCCGAGGCTCCCTCACTGCCTCACATGCAGTGGTCCTCCCCCGCCAGCCGATAAGCTAAAGCCCCGGCTGAGGAGACGTTTCGCATCCCGCCTGGGCAAGGTGTCGAGCCATGCTCGGTCCGCCCGGGAAAGAGTGCTACGAATCAACCGGCGAGACCAACTCCTGTCCGACAGCTCAGTGGCCCGACCTCCGCACGTGGGACCTGGCGGCACTACAATAGAAACGATGTTTCCCAATCCCGCACCGGCTGGTGCAAACCCATCCTTTCCTTCCGAAAGGCAGGACGCTCGATTCCCTCATGCAGGTCCCAAGTCCCAAGTGGGACACACATAGAACAAGTGCCTTTCCCAAAGGTGCATCCGGCGCAACCTACCCAAATCTCACAAATTTCTCTCATGACAGTGTGTGTCACTCCCCCTATTGTCCATATACAGTGGCTGGTTCCTTCTCGTGAGCATCTTCAAAGGTGAGCTAGTTTTCTTTGGAGTCTAGCAACTCCCTTCATTCCCATTTGTCTTCCTTCGTCTGTCCTTTCATAGGGTAGGATTGTTCCTTCTTGATGACCCTTGTGTTCATGTTGGTTCCTTTAAGCATTTCAAGTGTATAGTGCATGAGCCCGCTGGGCTCAGAAGAAGAAGGGAGAAAAACACCCAGGCGGTCGGATCACTCCGCCGTGGGATTTTCATTGGACCACGGTTGAAGCCGAAGTACCAACCGCCTGCCAGGTAACCGGAGCCCTTCTTTCATACGAAGAGAAAGGGTTGACCTGCGACTTGCCCGAAGCTTCCCAGGACTGGCGAACACCAGCACCGGAGGAAGGGGGGCTAGAGCTACCCCTCCAAGGAGTGAGTTGATCAAATGTGCAATCATGCATGTTATAACTCAAGGCCTGGCCATGCCATGCGCCCAACCACCCTCAAGTCTGATTCTCTCAAGGGAAATAGCAAGCACAAGTCTGATTTCCTTCTCTTTAGTTGTGTACACGGTCTTGCGTAGGGCGCCCCCCTCGGGATCACAAGGGTCAGTTTAACCCCCTACCCGACACCTCCACCATTTTTGTAGGGCCAAACCCCGATAGACTTTGGAACCTTTGTCGACCCCACTGCGGGTCCCAGTTCGCTCGGCCCGCCCACGCTCATGCTCAGGGCACGGGCCGTTCGTCCCAGGGTCACCCCCAACAGTGCTTTGAGATGGATGGGGGTGGGCCGTCGAGCGAGAGAGCTTTGACATTGGGGATGTAACTCAGCCCTCGCGCCGAGTGGTAGTGTCGTTGGTCATTTCGCAAGCGCTGATTTTCTGATTCTTGGTTGTGTTCTCAAGCAAATGCTTACGCAGGCAGTCCAGGGGTTCTTTGAGAGTTC